TGTATATGAATATATAAAACTAATAATCTTGAAAAATTAATATCAAACCAACACCTTTGGTAATTCTCTCTGAAATTTATTTTATTTGAATCATTGTTCAAAGATATTTATATTGGTTACTTATATTAGTTAAGCCATTTGATACAAAAAAAATCAAACATGCAAACTCGTGATAAGAACATAACATATTTATTGTGTAGATATATTTAATTGTCCTTATATCTAAATCATCTAACAGCCATATACACATCAAAAATTTAAATAGAATATAATTTTAGCTAATATAATATTAGACCTCAAGATTATTAGCTAAGTAATTTAAACATCGATAAATTCATCTCATTAGTCTTAATTAATTCAATTCACAAAAAATGCTTGGTGATGGTACCCACCCACCTTGTATGGACTGCAGCTGTCTTTTAGTCATTTTTACTATTGACTTTATTGATGTAGATTTGGTTAGAGATTTAGATCATCAAAGATCTATGATGGGATATATTTTTATCATGATTATTGGACCTATTAGTTGGAAGTCTACATTTTAGACTACTATTGCATTATTTACAATTGAGGCAGAGTATATGGTAGCTATTGAAGCATTGTGGTTGAAGAGATTATTGAGTGAACTTGAAATTCGACAAGGTGAAGTTCCTCTGTATTGTGACAGTTAGAGTACTATTTGCCTAGCAAAGAATTAGGTCTATCATGCACGATCAAAGCATATTGATGTGCGGTATCATAAGATTCATAAGTTGGTGAATTTTAGAGATATTTCTCTAGAGAAGGTTCACATAGAGGAGAATGTCGCAAATATGTTGATGAAGGTTGTCACATTGCAGAAGTTTAAATATTGTTTGAATTTGATTCATGTTGTAAGTACCTTACAAAATGTGGAGAACTTACAACATGAATAGATGTCAACTCCGGGTGTAGTGATGATGGTTGTCAAGGTGGAGTTTGTTGACGGTGTCAGTCCATCATGGTTGACCCGTTCGGGAGATGTGTAAGAAAAGTTCTCCCATCTCAACTATTTAGAAGATGTGAGAGAGTGCTCTCCCATTTGACTTACTTGAGAGGTGTACAATGAGTAAGGAGATAGTGATATAGTGGTCACGTCAACACTTATGAACCATTCTAGTGGTTGTGTAGAGAGAGAAAATAAGAATGGTTGTAGCCATTGCATCTAAGATGTGTGGGCACGATTGCACATAGATCAAGATGCTTTCTTTTATGAAGTGATTATCTTTTTCTATTTTCTCTAAAATGATATATATATATATATATTTTAGGGCAACAAATGATGAATTCTCTCTTGAGTTTATTCTCTTTCTCCATCAACTCTATTACTTTTCTTGACATCTTCTTTCTCTTCTATTATAAGTGAAGTCTTTATAGAAGGAGATAAGAGTCTATTTTTCACTCTACAGTGTGTGAGTTATCTCAAGGGCATTAAGATGTAAATTAGAGGTGCTTGGTGAAAGTTTTGTTCTGATTGATATCTAGAAATTGAGTTTCCACTGTTATTATGATCTTATGCTTGCATATTTTTGTTCTACAGGGATGAATCATTTTTTCCTTACACACAAAAGCTTCCTATATCCTACATTAATTGCAATCATTAATGAGTTATCTGAAAATGTGAGCCATATGAAGAAAGTGTAGTCAAGCCTAATGAGGAACACTATAGCAAGGTGGTGAGACTCAAGAACATGCTGGGGCCAGTTCCTTGCCACCCTACTTACTTTTTAGCATCCCCATGTCGAAGTGGAAGGGGAAGAGGAAGCAGACAATGGGCAAGAGAATCTCTGGGTAACACACTGCTAGCTCCACCAGGCTCCACTCTCTCTCTTTCTTGCCTTAGGGAATTCCTCATTAGTCCCGACTAGGCAATGTGATTGCATCATTCTCGGAGGCAGGTTTTACATAACGGATGCGAACCCGCGGGCGAGGTAGGATCACCGTAGTCTGCATGAAAGATGTCAGATATCTGGTCTTGGGAGTGGGTGGCCGGCAGCAGGTGAAATACATTTGGTAAGAGCGAGAGCACGCGGAGGACGACGTTGCATTTCATACGGCATTGCCTTGTAGGAATGACCAGATAGATCCCCGGTTGACTTCATTCAAAGAGTGTCAGCCGTTATGCGGGATGGAATTTTCCCTAATGGGCTGAAGTCTATTAAGTCTATGCTTGGGTCATCATCCAGGTGGGCGACGTCAGGCCGCAATGAGCCAGCTTTGTGGAACTTCTCGGGTTGAACTGAGATTTCCCTCTAATGGACCAGCTGGTTGGGTCGGAAAAAGATGGCTCATGTTTCTTGCTGTTTTATTATTTCAATTGCTTATTTTGCTGAACTATACAACTTAGAAGATCTTATATTATTTATTTATCGTTCTCATTGAAAACAACCCACAAATTTCCCCCCCTTCGATTCCAGACTAGGAGCTTGGAACTGACCCTATCCCCATTTGAGCTTATTAATTAACATCTAGAGATACGCATACAGTTAGAAATAAAGAGATGGAGAAAGGTACAGAGATAGAGATAAAAATAGAGAGAGATGGAGAGGGTGAGCGAGAGAGACGGAGAGAGAAGGAAGGGGGGAGGTTGGGGGGAGGGGGGGGGGGAAGAGAGCCACCAACGAATGGGATAGTGACGAGAGTGGACCTGTGGAAAGCATAGTCCAAAAGATGGTCAGTCTTCATCGTTGTCTTCTTTCTTCGCGGTTTTCTGCGCTGTTTTCTGCACCGTGAGAGATAAGGTAGAAGCGCTAGGGAAGAGAGCGGATCGAAGGACAAGTTGCTGTCAGCCTGATGTCGAACTTTGTAGTGCGTGCCGCGTTACCGTCCCCGATATGTGCTCACTGCAAACACCACACGTGTGTGGTCCACATGAGGGACCCCGAGTCTTGACGTGATGTGTCTAGATGTAGACCGGTAACCCGTTTGTCCAACCTCCTCCTAACGTGATAATCAACCATGTTGGACAAAATCCTTGGGACCAAGGTAGATCTGGTAATCTTGAGCAAATCGATGATCTATTCATAGATCAAACCGATGATAATGCGTGCGAACAACCCTTTATTCTCCTTAGTTCAATATGTCATATAATGAATCACATAATATAACATCTCTCGCTCTCCTCCCCCTATCAATGGTTTCGATTCAATTTAGTTATTTTCTTAAAACATGATATTCCAAGATCATTTGCACAGAGTTACATCTGTCTAAATACACCCCATGTACAATATTGAACAGATTTGTGCCTTTTCTCCAAATGCCAGCGACGTTAAAGGCGCACAGGAAATGGGCTGATCTCCACAAGAGACTGAGGCTGGCATCGCCTGGTGGGACATGAGTTTGTTAACCTTCTATGACATAATATTTGCCACCTTTCCCCGATAGATACTCGGCTCCTGCACACTCATCTCCTACGCCATGGGTGGTTAAGGTGTATCAGACTGAGCCCGAGGTCCGAAGAGCCTTGCCCTGGCCCGACCCAACGGCCCGTTTGGCTTGCTTTACTGTCTTGCTGTGAGGAACCTTTTTCAAGCTCATCCTGTTCCGCCGCCTCAGGCCGCTGGTCACTGCCGACAGCCTAGCAAGGCGACAGTGAATTGAAAGAAGACAGTCGCTTGGACTTCCTGAGTCGGCAAGTAGTCTAACAATATCAGTCATCACCGTTCTCTGCGGACGAAGAGGCCCAAGCGATAAAGTAGGCGGCCAGTAACTTCTTCTCCATAATATCCTAGTACAGTAAATTGGTTATATCGAGTGTAGATCAAAGATACAGCCGAATATTGAGACAAACAACTATGGAGGGAGGAAGAGAGAGAGAAAGAGAGGACGTCTCGATAAGGACTGAAAGCTAGAGTAGGCGTGTATCGATAGTAAGAGACGGGTTCTGAGGAAGTAAGACAATTGTAGTATTTTTTTTAATCAATGCAAGTTGCCAACGATAGTGACCTTGCTCGCAACAGGACTAAGGGAATTTGTAATTAATAGTTTAAAATAAAGTTCGAAAGCGATGTTGATATCCCTGTCATCTACTCCATGGCACAGCGCGCTAACATCTACCACGATACACGGCCTCCTATAAAGCACAAGAGTCGCCAACGACAGTGATCTTGCTCGCAACACGACTACGGAAATTTGTAATTCATAGATTAAAGTAAAGTTCGAAGGCGATGTTGATATCCCTGTCATCTACTCGATGACACAGCGCCCTAACGTGTATCACTAAACACGGCTTCCTTTCAGGCACCAGAATATAGAATCACATAAGTTGAAAACAGCATATTGGATATATCTTCAACGTTGGTTACATTAAAAGTGCAATCAAAGAGAATATTTCCTATTTCTATGTTCGTCTTCACGGACAAATTCAATAAACTTATTAACGTTGAAGCCTCTCTCTCTCTCTCTCTCTCTCTCTCTCTCTCTCTCTCTCTCTCTCTCTCTCTCTCTCTCTTTCTCTCTCTCTCTCTATTGGGTTTGTGGTACAAGACCTCGTTAGTCCAGCCCGGAGCCAATTTTACGGGCCTTTTAGAAGGCACCTACTTGGGCTCGAATGCGGCTCCTTGACCAAATCTCTACCCGTAAAAGCCGGTAAGGGTGTCCCATGGAAGGTTCATGGACCCCTCCCTCTTCTTTATGTCTCCTCCACTCGGCCCTCTACCGGAGCAGTGAAAACCGAGGAAGGTTCACAGTCGGATATCTTTTCCTCCTTCCTGTCGACATCCTCGGGGAGAAATAATTGAGTGAAAGCCATCGTTATAGGCTTTAGTGGGGCGTCGTCTGGTAGCAAGAGAAGTCCCCCCCCCCCTTCCCCCCCCCCCCACTTTCAATTCAAGAGTACCGCCGTCACGAAGGGAGAATCGTCTTGTCTGGGGGAGAGACACCGAGGCCCTTCTCACACTATGTATTCGCCTCACCGAATGGAGGCTCCTCTACAGTCTCTGTGATTCCCAAGGTTTCTTCTCCACCCCTCGGCTCGGCAGGCCATGGAAACCCTTGTAAAGCTGACCGTGGGATACCCAGAGATCCTTCTATCCTTGGGTTGCTTCTTCTTCTTCCTCCTCTTCCGTGGACGGTGGGACGCCCACGCGCTTTGGAACTGGCCTCTGCTGGGCATGCTTCCAGGGCTCCTTTCCCAGCTCCATCGCTACTATGACTGGACCACAGAAACCTTCACCGAGTGCGGTTGCACCTTCCTATTCAAGGGACCCTGGTTCTCCGGTATGAATATGTTGATAACCATCGATCCGGCCAACGTGAACCACGTCTTCAACAGTAACTTCGCCAATTATCCCAAGGGCGACGAGTTCCTAGAAATCTTTGACATCCTCGGCGAGGGGATCTTCAACGCGGACTCCGATTCCTGGAAGAGTCAGCGGAGGGTGGCGCACATGCTCATCAGCGAGCACAGGTTCCGGCGCTTCGTGTCCCAGACGAGCTATGACAAGGTTGAGAAGGGGCTCGTCCCCCTCCTCGCCCATGTGGCGGAAAAGGGCACCGTCGTTGACCTGCAGGACGTGTTCCTCCGGCTCACTTTCGATACCATCTGTAACCTGATCTTTGGTGTCGACCCTGGCTGCCTCTCGCCCGGTCTTCCTGCTGTCCCCTTCGCGAAGGCTATGGACGACGCGGAGGAGGTCATGTTCTTCCGGCATTGCGTGCCCAGGAACTGGTGGAAGCTCCTCAGGTGGCTACGGGTTGGAGAAGAGAAGAAGATGGCGCTTGCGTGGGACGCCATTGACGACTTTATATCCAACCAGATTGCCCTGAGGATGGAGAAGGTGAGCAAGATGAGAGAAGATAAGGCGGCGGACGAAGAATTGGCGCCGGACCTTCTGACGTCATACATCGGCCGTCGACCACACGTCGGAGACATGGCTGGTGATTCGAAGAAGTTCCTGCGAGACACAACGCTGAACCTGATGCTGGCTGGGAGAGACACCACCGGCGCGGGCCTTGCATGGTTCTCCTGGTTGGTCTCCCAGCATCCTGACGTGGAGCAGAAGATCCTCGACGAGCTGAAGCCGATCCTGGCGGGTCTTCCAGAGTCCCGCCGGGCTAACCTTGTCGTCTTCGCCGCCGACGACCTCAGCTCGGCTGTGTACCTGCAGGCGGCCCTGTGCGAGTCCCTGAGACTGTTCCCGCCCGTCCCCATGGAACACAAGAGCGCCGTGAAGGCGGACGTACTTCCCAGCGGCCACAAGGTCGAACCAAAGACAAAGATACTCTTCAACTTGTACTGCATGGGAAGGTTGGAGGGCGTCTGGGGGAAGGACTGCTGCGAATTCAAGCCGGAGCGGTGGATCTCCGACCGTGGGAGGCTGAAACACGAGCCCTCCTACAAGTTCCTCTCTTTCAACTCTGGGCCGAGGACCTGTCTCGGCAAGGAAATGGCCATGACCCAGATGAAGGTGGTGGCGGCCACCATGATCCACAACTTCCGCATCAAGGCGGTACCCGGCCATGCGGTGGTTCCCAGTCTCTCCATCATCCTCCACATGAAGAACGGGCTCTTGGTTAACGTCGAGAAGAGGACCTAAACCCAGGCTCACATCTCCATGGTCTCTCTGATAGGGTTTTCCTCTCCAAACGGATGAAAGCCGTTCCTGTTGTGTGCAAGTCGCAGTGTTCCTGTCCGTCCCCAGTCCAACCACTGTTCCCCATCATGCACGTCTGTCTTCGAGTCTCGGTCGTTTGTGGACTAACACCTAGGACACGTGTACGGTCCTGGTGATGATAGACGGTCAGCGGGCTGTCAATCGCACGAGTGGCGGCGGCTCGACTGTCACCAGTGAGACTATGTCGATCGAAATGTTTTCTGACTCAAATAAGCTTTATATGGACTCGATTAGTTTCTAACACGGCCGATGTTGAAGGGATTCCGGTTATATTATTACCAATTACGATTTTGTGATCTATTAAAATTTTAAATAACTCCTTTAAAATTATGTCATTCACATCGTCTCCAAAGCCGTGTTAATTTCCCGAAAACTTTCATGTTCCGAGATATTTATGACATGCGCGATATCATATTATATGATTATTCACCTTGTACCTAGGGACGTGACATGCGCGATGTCTAGACAGGGCACCTGCGTGGTGAGGCCTCATTGGTCGATTCCTGCGTCAGCCGGCGCTTCGTCTCTCGTCGTCCTCTTTATCCCTGGAGGTTGAGGGCTCACCTGGAATCTCAAGAAAATTAGGAATTGACCGCGATTGTCCGCAGTTGTTCGTTTCTGCTCAGGTCGGCCAGATGGACACTGTTCTTATTAGGGTCCCCTATCTATTGTGACCGTGAGTATGGACCGTTAGATCACAGGGCTCCGAAGGACCACAGATATCTCCGAGCCATGGTGCGACCTGTCTGTAACCAAGAAGCGCATAACTCGTCGTCTTAAAGCCCAATAATTTATGTGACGTGGTTCGGTCTATTGGCCTATCAAACCTGGGAACCCCACTTCACGCCCGCCGTCCGTTTATGCCCAGAGAACGAGCCGATCCACACGCATGACAGCGAAGAAGGAAGCCCCAGTCAGCGACGAAAGCAACGAACATGTAGGTTTAGAGAGAGAGAGAGCGAGAGCGAGGGGAGAGAGAAAGAGAAGGAGAGCGAGCGAGCGAACGAGAGAGAGAGAGAGCGAGAGGGGGGGGGAGAACGTGGAGAGCGAGAGAGAGAGTGAGGGGGGGAGCGAGAGAGAGAGAGAGAGAGAGAGAGAGAGAGAGAGAGAGAGAGAGAGAGAGAGAGAGAGAGAGAGAGAGAGAGAGATAGATACATAGATACATAGATAGAGAGAGAGAAAGAGAGAGAGGGAGAGCAAGGGGGAGAGAGAGAGGGGGGAGAGCGGGGGAGAGAGAGAGAGAGAGAGAGAGAGAGGAAGGGAGAGCGAGGGAGAGAGGGAGAGGGAGAGAGAGAGGAAGGGAGAGCGAGGGAGGGAGGGAGATGGACAGAGAGAGGAAGGGAGAGCGAGGGAGAGAGGGAGATGGACAGAGTGAGAGAGACAGAGACAGAGACAGAGGAAGGAGCGAGGGAGAGAAGGAGATAAAGAGAGAGAGAGAGAGAGAGAGAGAGAGAGAGAGAGAGAGAGAGAGAGAGAGAGAGAGAGAGAGAGAGAGAGAGAGAGAGAGAGAGAGAGAGAGGAGAGGGAGATGGACAGAGGAGAGAGACAGAGACAGAGACAGAGGAAGGAGCGAGGGAGAGAAGGAGATGAGAGAGAGAGAGAGAGAGAGAGAGAGAGAGGAGGAAGGAGAGCGAGGGAGAGAGGGAGATGGACAGAGTGAGAGAGACAGAGACAGAGACAGAGGAAGGAGCGAGGGAGAGGAGGAGATGAAGAGAGAGAGAGAGAGAGATAGAGAGACAGAGGAAGGGAGAGCGAGGGAGATGAGAGAGAGAGAGAGAGAGAGAGAGAGAGAGAGAGAGAGAGAGAGAGAGAGAGCGCGGAGGGACTGAGAAACTAGCTGGATGTGGGCTTCGCCGTGGAGTGAGCCGCATTATTGATCTTGTCATGGCCCAGGCTCAATAAAACCAGTCTGAAATTGGATCTCCCCTTCTGTCGGTGCTGTGCTCTTTCCTTTCCCTACAATGAACTACAAGTCTGACTAAACAAAATCAGTTATCAATGCGCTCTGTTTGACCACATGTTTGATCTGGTTTCTATAACTAACCAGACTTGAGTCATTTAATTCAAAGGCATCAAGAAGATGGTTAGTTCGCCCGGGACCAGAGCATAGCCGGGTCTGCCTTAAAGGGTACTCTCTGACCGTAACTGTGGTAGCATCTCCCCACAGGCCCCATTCTCCTAGCCTCTCATCGCCGGGCCTACATCAGGCAAGTATCCTTGCTGGGCATTCCGCTATCACGCCCGGGCCGAATACGGGCCCGGACCCAGCCCGCCCTGCGATCCCCGCGTTTAAAGTACGGTCTTGAGAGCATTAATTTGCAACTTGTATGCGTGATGCGCTCCATGAGGGCAAGCTCGTGTCCTCATGAAGGTTGCAAGCCACGCGTGGCCGTCGCTGCAGTTCAAGATTCTTGACTAAAAATGAGCTAAGATCGGAGCTCGTCGCTTCGTCGAGGACCCCTCTGGCCAAATAATATTTGGTCGTCAATTTCTAAAACGTAGTCTAGAACGAAATATGTCCGATCCTGACTGATCCGATCCCTCTCAGAACTCCCTCGAAAGTTTGCTCCTTATTTTTATTGCCAAGTGAGTTTCTCCAAGATTTCTCCCTCGTCAGTTTGTTTCCTAACTTCAACCCCAACACACCCCCCTCCCCTTATGTATATTTATGTATATCCATATGGGTCAAGCATGAGATTGGTTTGTCCCGCATACACACATACAGGAGTGTGAGGGAGGAGGAGAGAGAGAGAGAATAAGAGAGGGAAGAAGAGAGAGAGAGAGAGAGAGAGAGAGAGAGAGAGAGAGAGAGAGAGAGCTAGTCTATTAACCCCCCATCGTTATATCACTAAGATATCTTTTCCTACGCTATTTTTGCGTAGGTTTCTTTTATCTAATGAGTTTCCTTCCACGCCATTCATTATGGTCGCTTTAAAAACCCTGCCCACCCCGTCTCAGAACCCACTAGTCAACCCGTTCACGTCTGCGACACTAGAAGAAATCCTAACGAGATCCACGTCCGTTTGGCTTTCCCATGATTGTCGGAGAGACTTTGGTCGTCAGGAGTATACGCAGGGGACATAGATTCCTGGGGCAGAACTAAGCGAGTCTACTAAGGGGATGTTATTTTGTGCGAGAAATCATAACCTTGCTATTCATCGTGCCCTTCGGGTCCGCCATGGCCATAATTTGGTGCCTCGTGAAGCGAGTCTACTAAGGGGATGTTATCGTCGCCCCTGTCCTGGATTCTAACTTTCAAAAGGGGAATCCCCCGCTGCTGATCACAGTTGTTCGTTTAGACAACGGTAGGTCCCGGGGTTACTCGTTTCACCACGGCCCCCCCCTGATTATCACAATTATTATCCACCGTCGGATGAAGCGCTCTGAGTGATCCACAGCTTTATCTGAGCCGTGGGTCCGTCTCTAGACGGATATTGAGACTATTAGGTGAGCCTATTTATGACCGATATGACAATTGTTTATTAGGTGAGTGGGGTTGCCTGATCTATCAACAAGTCGCTCTTCGGCAGCCCATTTCAAGGTGGACACGCGTGTTAAGGCCAAAGAACGAAGAACTGGCCCACGCAGCAACGACAATGAAAGCCCCCGCTGCGAAACGACCATGGTGATATAAATACATATACACATATACCAATTAAGATAGGGAGAGGGCGAGAGAGGGGGGGAGGGGGCAAGCTAATGACAATAAGTGGGCTTTGCCGCGTTGATGAGTTTGACATGTCGAGCTCAATAAAACGAAGTCGGAAGGGGACATATCCTACTGGCTGTGCCTTCCTTTCCTTCATTTTCCCACAGTAAATGATAGTCTGAATCCAACAAAATAAATCTTTACTGAATAAGTGAGGATTGCTTGACCACATCTGTCCTAATTTGAAGGCGTCAACGGGCCGGGGGTGTACCCATGTTAGCCTTAAAGACTTTTACCTCCCACTGCCTAGCTTCCTTTAACTCCAGTAGCATCCTTCTTCACAGAAACCGTTCCCCTAGCTCTTCCTCTCCTCCCTCTCTCATCAGCGGCCGGCCAATAGCCTTTCCCTCATCACCGCTGTCAAGGTCCCCACAAATCTGGGACTTAAAATTTCAGAAGACCAGGCGAGAAGGGGCTTCAAATGGCCGGAACCCAGCCGACCTGTGGGCATTTAAATTTGATCATGAAAACAATAACTACGACACGTACAAGTCGTAGTGTGACCCCGTTCAAGTGATAGATAGCCTGGGTCAACGTGGAGGTGAGAGGCCACGGCTTCAATCAGGAGACAGCGTTCCGATCGAGACCAGACCTGCCAGCGCCAGACATTTCTCTCCGGACTTTGATAATGGGATTAACCACCAAAGATTATCGGGTTAGACGGGATCCTCGACCAAGCGGTGAGGCCCACCTTTTGTTCACTTCCTGTCGAGAATCGAAGGTCAGAGATTCTTCTCTCTCTCTCTCTCTCCCTCTCTCTCTCTCTCTCTCTCTCTCTCTCTCTCTCTCTCTCTCTCTCTCTCTCTCTCTCTCTCTCTCTCTCTCTCTCTCTCTCCCTCTCTCTCTCTCTGTCTCTCTCTATGTATGTATGTATGTATGCATGTATCTATTTATATATATTTCTATGTATCTATCTTTCTTTCTTTCTATCTATGTATCCATCTATCTATCTTCCTATTCATCGATCGATTGATTTATCTGACTTTATATACACGTCTTCGGGTTGGTTTTGGTCGGGATTTAGCGGCGCTAGTTTGTCTCACAACACCTTTGGTCATGCCCTACGGGAAGTAAATTAATGCAGGAGGCAATAATTTTGAACGAATAATTTTTTTATCTTGTAGAGTAAACCTCACTTTCAAAGTTTAATGGCGATCCCCAGCGTCTTCTGCAAGGTTTGGACTAAGTATGGGCAGAGTCAAACGTGGGAAATAATGTTGCAACTACTGGGACTCGCATGACCACCGCGTGACAACTAGGCCTAGCCGGGCCCTCCATGACGACCAAATTGACGTAGAGAACATGCTAAAAAGTCAAGCATATATGTGGGCATTGAGAGGCGACGTGTTCACTTTCTAAGCAGAACTCTGCGATGGCTCGGTGTTACCCGAGCAGGAAGAACATGCGTCAGGCCTATATTTTCTTTTCTAAACTTGATCTTCAGGTTCAAACTCACAAAACCACGCAGGGTTGACCTTTGAACTTGCACTGTTCAGCCAATGGTAGGACAATATTGTTATCCGCTGCCAGTCGCTTTAGCCTCAAACTTGTATCTTATTGCAAGAGCCTGCGTTCCGTAGCATTCCATTGATATCAGTGACGTAAAGGAATTTAATCTGCCTAGTCACCGGTCACTTGTTTTCAGCCACTCAAATAAGACTTTGTTTACCCATGAAAGCACCTTTGGATGTCTCTCTACGTGCTTGTAGATTCACAAGGGCATTGAAGTCACGGATCCTAACCAACTGGGGTATTTTAGTCTTATTAGTACGTATTCCTCCACGTCAATAATCGTCTTCGACCTTGTTTCATAAAAGCTTCTAACAATTCGATTATTTGTGCCTTCCAAAAATAATACGTATTAAAACTATTGCATTTCGAATGCGCTAAGGAAAACGGTGCTTCTACCAAAAAATACATTCCCTGCGAGACTAACTGTTCAAGGTGATATTCCTCCGTGTCGAGGGAAGAGGTGACTCTCTAACCGTTCAAGGCTATCCAATTGTTCAACGACGATTAGATGACAGTCGTCACCGACAAGAGCGAGCGAGAGAGGGGGAGAGGAGGAGGAAGAGAGAGAGAGAGAGTTGGTCAATCTCGATCGATTTGTCACTTAGACCGCCTTCCGTACATTGTTTATGCAAATGATTATTTTAGATAAGTTATCTTCGACACCAATAACTATAACTCCCTTTCACAGCCCTAGTCGCCCCCTATCATGCATGCAGAGGTCAACCCGATAGCGTTTGCTCCATTAAAAGAACTCCTAATGACACCACTGTCCGTTGGGTTATTTTAAGACAATCGGAGTGACTTCTACCGTCAGAAGTGCACGTGGATGGCCATGATTAATTGGGTAGAATCAAGAAGCACACACAGAGGATCGTCTTCTCTGTGAGAGGGCAGAACCTTGCCAATGCTACAAAATCTTTCCCTTAGGACTAATGTCCTCTCCCATCCCATTCCCAATCCCCTCTCTCCTATCTCTCCGTCACTCTCCCCAATGGGCATAATCACGAGCCTCGTGAAGCTCGCAGTGGCCTATCCGGAGACCCTTCTGTCTCTCGTCTCCTTTGTCGTCCTCTTCTTCTACAGTGGGATACGCCGTAGCCGCGTCCCCAGGAACTGGCCTCTCCTGGGCATGTTCCCTAGCGTCCTCACCCAGATCCACCGTTTCTACGAGTGGTGCGTAGATCTCATCCCCATCGTCGGTTCCACCTTCCTGTTCAAGGGACCCTGGTTCTCCGGCATGGACATTCTCATCACCATCGATCCGGCTAACATCAACCACATTTTCAACGCCAACTTCGTCAACTACCCAAAGGGCGCCCAGTTCCTGGAGATCTTCGACATCCTGGGAGATGGGATCTTCAATGCCGACTCTGACTCCTGGAAGAGCCAACGTAAGGCGGTCCATTCTCTCATGAGCGAGCCCAGGTTCCGGCGTTTCGTTGCAAGGACGAGCAGAGAGAAGGTGGAAGAATACCTCGTTCCCCTCCTCGCACGTGCCGCGGAGCAGGCCACCGTTGTGGACCTCCAGGACTTGTTCCTTCGGTTCACCTTCGACACCACCTGCAACCTGGTCTCGGGGGTCGACCCGGGTTGCCTGTCGCCCGACCTCCCTTCCGTGCCGTTTGCCAACGCTATAGACAATGCAGAAGACGTATTGTTCTTCCGGCACGTTGTGCCCATGAGCTGGTGGAAGCTGCTGAGGTGGCTGCGGGTGGGGGAAGAGAAGAAGATGGCGCTGGCGTGGGAAACCATCGACAAGTTCACGAATAATCTGATTTCCTTGAGGATGGAGGAGATGAAGCATGGTAGAGAAGACCGAGAACAGGACGAAGACGTTGCACCCGACCTACTATCGTCGTATCTGAAGACCCGTCCCGAGCTTGGAGGCGTTGCCGTCGTATCCAAGAAGTTCCTGCGAGACACAACCTTGAATTTATTGTTGGCAGGGAGGGATACCACGGGAACGGCGCTCTCATGGTTCTTCTGGATGATCTCCCAGCATCCCGATGTGGAGCGGAAGATCCTCGAGGAGCTGAAGCCAATTCTAGCAGTTTCTACCGACGAAGGAAAGGCTGCCGTCTTCAAGGCCGAAGACATAAAGTCAGCCTTGTACCTGCACGCAGCCTTATGCGAAACCCTGAGGCTTTTCCCGCCGGTTCCCCTCGAGCACAAGAGCACCAAGCTGGCGGACGTCCTTCCCAGCGGTGATAAAGTCTATCCCGAGACGAAGTTACTCATCAACCTGTACTCCATGGCCAGAAGCGAAGGGATCTGGGGAAAGGACTGCCGCGAGTTCAAGCCAGAGCGTTGGATCTCCGATCGGGGGACTCTGAAGCACGAGCCCTCCTACAAGTTCCTCTCCTTCAACTCCGGGCCGAGGACCTGCCTCGGCAAGGACATGGCCTTCATCCAGATGAAGGTGGTGGCGGCTACCCTGATACACAACTTTCGCATCAAGGTGGTGCAAGGCCATGTCGTTGCCCCAAAACTTTCCATAATCCTCCACATGAAGAACGGGCTGATGGTTAACGTGGAGAAGAGGGCCTGACTCTTTTCCTTGATGTTCCGGTTGTCGCGGTAGGTTTTTCCATTCTTTTCTCTTAATAAATGCATGAACAATATTTCCGCCATTCTTCCGTTAGCTACAATCAGCCTTTCTAATGTCATCATTCGATTAATCCTTGATGTCATCTGTAATTCCATAGGTGGATGTATTCGATGTATGTACTAAGATATACTGATGGCGAGTAGGACCTGTCTCCATCAGCTCAGGAGACACCGATAGTCCGAGTTCAGCCCGATCGACGCGCGAAGACGAAGGAGCCTGGCTTTCGCTACATGGCCTAGCCATTCGGGACGACAACATTCCACCTCCGCGACAACGACGAGCTTGAGCTCACCCGTATCTTTCTTTGTATTTTCATGTTGACTTGTTGGGCCTCGCGTTTGTGTTAGTGGGCCCAATTCTATGTGTGTGTGTTGTTGTTTGTGTCTCCCTTTCTTTAGGGTTTTATTGGGTCTCTCTTTGAGGCCCAATTAAAACCCTAAGGGGGGGGAGGGGAGGGGGACCTATGTGTCTTTCCTTTTGGGCCTCTTTTGGGGTTTATTTGGGTCTTCATTTGAGGCCCACTTAAGCACCGTAAGAGGGCCCTCCTCGTTCTCCTTTTAGGGGAGCTTATTGGGTCTCTCTTTAATAGGCCCAATAAGCCCCTTTGTAGCCTTTGTGGCTTATGAGCTTGAGGGCCTCAAGTGGGCCCACCTCCCCTTAGCCCACCTGTGGGCCCCCATATAAGGGGAGGTAGGAAACCCCCCCTCAGGAGAGCGCCGTATTTTTTAGAGAGATTATTGTTTTGTGAATATGATCTAGGGAGGGAAGGAGGAAGAGGAAGGCCGTCGATACCCCCTTCGAGGACTTCATTCCTCGTGACACTGCTGCCCAAGAAGTCCCGCTGCCGCTTGAGACCACTGCCGCCGCCGGCCATCTCTTTGCCGCCCGGGAGCTCGCCGCCGTCACCAGACGAAACGGTTGCGGTTGCCGCTGCAGCTGCCGCCGCCTCTGCTGGAACCCCGTCACGCCGTCATGACGAAAGGGGCTTGTAATTGTTTTACTATTGACAAAACACATATGAAGGTAAATAATTATTTTATGCTTCAAAAATTATGTTGTTTATAATAATTTTATTTTTTTGTCAAAATGCTTAGAAAAGTCACATATGATATTACAATTGTTTACAATAGTTTTTGTCTCTTTATATTTTAAAGAGAGGAATCCACTCACTTAGATGAGTTTTATACTCTTTTTATGAGAATGATAACTTATAAGGACATAGTAGTTATTTTTTACTGTAAATATAATTATGAGATCATCTATAAAGTATAATTTTATATCACATAAATACATGTACACTTGCATCACCCTTAAAGATCCAAACAATACTTTACCTTCACATTCAGAAAAGTCAACAAGGTTTAAGTTGTTATTTGCATGCTTTATCTTACCCATTTAGTTAATCAGGTTTAGGTAGTTGTTTAACATTTGTACTAATAAAATAAGTATCCATACATTTATTTTTAATAGGTATCTTACCCACTTATTATATGGGATCTTAATGACAAACTCATGCAAGTAGGTGGTATGAGCACCTAAGACTGAGCTGAAATGATGAACTCATCATAGCTCACTTTTGCTCAATGCCTTGCATTTGGCTTACTAGAATCATCGACAATGTTATGTCTAACCATATTTGTGTCATATATTCAATAATTATACTTAGATAGGGGCAGTAAAATTCATAAGATATGTTATCAGGAGAATGGAGCTAAATACGAACCAAGCTATTATAAATCTTGGTGTGTTTGATCGACCTGCAAAGAAGCCTACATTACCCTCATCAAATGACTTGACTCTGGTAGAAAAAAATGGACCAATTCAGTCCATTTGATTTGTACTTGTAAAGATGACACCAATATAAATTATGTAGAAAGTATAAATGTAGATACAAATGAAATAAACATGGTACACAATCCAAAGTCAATTGGTCATATAATAACCATGTCTCATTCTGACCTCTTCTTATAAAAATATATAATCCATTCATCGTTTGCACATCCAATATCACACGTAATGTATAATAAAGATTTTCTTTTTAGATGCATGGCCTCTCTCCTAAGAGGCAACCCACCCTTGCCCTTTAAGTTTAACCGCATTGACCCCCTGACATGACTTAGTCGTTGTATAGGAAATCACGTAAATTTAAAATTTATAAAATTAGAAAATATATTTTTTTGGATATTTAAAATTATTTTTAAACAAATACATAAATTATAATTTAATAAAAATTTAAAAAATAGTAGTAATTTTTTAGGTCAATCACAAGGATGTAATATAATATCAAGTAATTATTCATAATTTTTCCTCAAAGAATATTATTTTTTATAAATTTTATACTAAAAAATAAAAATAAAATATATTTAAAATTCACGAGAAAAGGAAATAAGGGTGCAAACGTCAAGATGACATTAGCGTCCGACAAATGCGAATCGGGTAGAAATAGAGTTCTGCTCTACGATTTTTACATAAGTGATTATAGATGATTTAATTGATAAAATTAAGATTTATAAAAGTCGTAAGAATCATAATTAAATGAAATATATCTTGATAAATGTAAATCACACAAATTATCACTAAATGAAGCAAAAAATTAAGTTGAAAGTAAGAAAATAGAGTTCTAGCATCACGATGGTAATGCGTCGACAAGTACAGAAATCTTGAGCGTTTGAGAGGATCGTCATGTAATGTCCACAGCTTTGAAGTCTTTTCTTAGACAATGATGATGTAAGAAACCTCTAGATCTCTTTGCGAAGTCTAAAGATCAATGAAATGAGTTACTGAATCATCTCCAATGGCTGTCACCTGACGGAGCGGAAAAATAATGACTTTGTGGCTCTCCGGCGACTGTCACATGATGAAGAAAAGCTGGATGCAGGTGGGACACGTGTTAGAGAACTTCATCCTCATGTCTACACAATAAGAGGCTTTTCATCGCATCCGATATGCTCTCAAGAGGTAGCAACTTATCTCCTAGCGGATCGTCCTCTTCTCGACGACGATTTGTTCATCAATCAATTAGAGATATTTTACTCGATAGATTCATAATCCTTTTATCACAAATTATTTAATAATTTTAGTAATAATACTTTGTAAATCATATTGACAAGATTTTCGCCGATGATCTAATAATTTTGATGACTTAATCATTTACTGGTGATCTACAAGAAAGTCATGATAATCAAATAAAAATATAAGTTTTGACTCTAAGAGGATTCAAACCCACATCAGTTGCCCACTTACATGAGAGAGATTGACATGAGTACTCTAATACTCTTATTAAATGATGTCATCATGATTTATCTTTATTATAAATAAGGGGTATTATAGGTATTAAAATTATTGAATCTTTTTGGGAAGTGTGATGTGGGTTTAGTCCCATATCACTTGTGTGCCGAAGTTTTAGGTGAAGATATAATAATATTATATTTGCAATCAAGTCTCTTTCTCACACGTGTATAACTACTCCTTGTCCCACAACTAATTGGCCACTAGTGACGTGAAAGGAGCGGCGTACTCGTGCCCCTATTGGTCCTAGTTGCTTGAGCACCTACTTGCAACTACTCTTCGACTGCGCTTCCTACCTACTTGCGGGCCCAACTAACAAGTGGGTCCCCCTATTTTATTATATTTTTATTTTTATTTCTTTTTCTTTATTTATCTTAAAAGTAAGACTAAAAATCATATAAATTCGTATAAAATCACATAATTACCTAAAAATTCACGTTAATCAACTAAACCACTTTACATACTTTGACATAAATATAAGTCTATTTAACATGAGTTAAGCCTAAAACTATATTATTGAATAATTATTAACTCATAATAATGAAGACTTATCACCCTCCTAACATAGGACTAAAAATATACAAGTCCCACTCTCGTACAAGTAAACATCAGACCATTCAGTTAATAAATTAGTGAATAAATTGGGGACGACTTGTGGATGAATATTATTTTCTCTTTATTGCGATGATCTCAATCTACACCCTTTGGACAACAAAGTAAAGAAATTTGTTGAAGTATGTGATGTAGGACGGGGCAAGAATCTCTGTACCTGATCAATGAAACTCACGACCCAAGATGGGGTAGTCGGATCGATCCGATCAGAATGTATGAACCCTAGACTCTAGGTTTGACCACATAACCTAAGTATAGGCAGATGTACCAATGTGCGTGATCAATCCAAAATAACCTAAGAAAACACCCGACGATGATAATTGTGAGGCCTTCTCAGTCCATGTACAGACAGATAGCGAAACAGTTGTCGTGAGGTAGCCTAGGGCTGCAGCTCACAAATGGTAATGAATTTAGCACAGTGTCGGAAGTCACGATCCGATAACCATCCTATCTTGTCTACGTTCTCCTGATGGTGGTGGAGATGAGCTGAAAAAACCCTTTGACAGATAATTAAACTTAAGAGCAAGGGGTACGGAGTTAACCTTTGGGGCTGCGTAGCCCGGCGGGTCGTGACAGAGTAGAGATTCGACGTAGGCAGAGACGTCCGGTGAAGATTGATGCTCAACATCGACAATCGGTCCTAGTTGAGAGTCGCAGTAGTCATCGTCATGCGGCTTGGCACATTCAGCGTGGGCGTGGGCCTGCAGGTGGGCCAAAAGGCACGCTAGTGGGCGTGGGCCCGCTGGTGGGCCGAAGGGCACGCTAGCGGGCGCACGCGGCAAGCCGCGCGGCGTGCCCTAGGGCACGCGGGCAGTGGCGCCGGGTGAACGCGCGGGCCGCAAGAGCCGGCGCGCGGCGGCAGCGCTTCGGCGGGAAGGCCGAGCGTCTGCGGCGCTTCGGCAGGAATGCCAGACGTCAGCGGCGCTTCGGCGGGAATGCCGAGCGTCGGCGTTCGGCGGGAAGGCCGAACGTCAGCGGCGCTTCGGCGGGAAGGCCGAACGTCAGCGGCGCTTCGGCGGGAAGGCCGAGCATCAGCGGCG